GAGAGGCAGGTGAGACGAGGAGATAAGGACTGAGAGAATATGTGCCTGGGGTGACAAAGAGTTAAAGAAGTTACTAATGGAGACAAGAGGCCTTCATCACCTAAAACAATGCAAAACACTGCAAATGAAAAAGACAAGATGTCCACCTGACAAATACTCATGACTACAGCAGAATTAAATAACCCACAAATGACTGTATTTTTTAAACTGAAGACAAAAGCCAGATGTTAGTGAGTGTAAAATGGACCAACTTTTTTTTTTTTTGCACAAATGGCATTCCATACACAGACTAAAAAGGTGAAAACTACCAGGTACAGGGAATTGCAGATGGTATAAGAAAAAATGTGGTGGAGGAAAATCTAATAAAAGGCTCTATTCATTATGGGAACTATATGAAATGTCTTCAAAACTGCTTAGTCAGAGGGGACTTGAGGAAACTGGCTGTACCTTATGTTCAGAAATATACTGCAGCTACTTTATCAGGCAAAAAAGCCCATGCATGTAGTTCACTGATGTAATTTGATTTCTGGATGCTGAGTGGACACTTTGAGCTACAGATTCAACTTTGAATCTGCTTTTCCTCAGTGGCACAGGGGACTTTAACTCTGTATCACGTCTTTATTTATACAGCATATGTCCTCATTGTGTATTAAACAGATTTTTCTTATACAACAAACACACTCGGTCACTGCACTGCTTCAAAGGAACAAACTCTCACACACTCTCTTTAAATAAAGTCTACAACATATCCAATAGACTTTTTAGAGAATACAAATACTAAATCAAACGAAGGTAAAGCAAGACTATAAAAAGAGTTTCCTCATGATATCCCGGCTTGTCTTCATCTGTGATTGAAATTCTACTATATGAACCCTGATGAAAAAGCACAGTCATCTTCACTTCTTGTTTTTAACTTACAAACCTGGAAACCTTCTGCTCACACTTTACATCCAGAGCAACATTGCATAATGTGACATTATCTGTGTGACCTTTAATCTAATCAACACATTACTCTGCTCCCTTGCCAATCAATTCTCACTGTGTAAAAAATGTGGCAAAAGTGTGTATTTTTAATGCGGTGGTTGGATGATTGCTCATACAGTGCTGTTGTATATGTTTATAGGCTAAAATATTATTGAGACATGTAGAGTGCAAGTCTGTAAACTGAGTTATTCATAACTCGTTTAAGAACCTGAGGCTCAGTTAGCAAACCTCTGAAATAGATTACATGCAAAATATGAAAAAATAACAGCAGTTAAATCACTAAAACATCTAAGTATATGTTTTTAATTGTAATTTATTTATTTGTATGTAATTTAAGTTAATTTTTAATTTTGACTACAAAATCTTCACTATGACTGCAGATAAACCAGAGCACAAAGTTTTCTAACTTCACTCTCATCACAACGTCCAGCACACCAACAATAAAAAGTGACAGTATATTGTAGAACTGTTTGAGGAGACACTCATCACAAGGAATAAATCTGAAATAGCTCCAGAGCATTAACACAAGCAAATAGCTCACTCCAAACAGGCAGGTGTGGAACAGGCACTGCACTAGTATTACAAATGTTAAGTGGTGTATGTAATTTAGATTTAAAATTCCATGTAGTATCCAAAATGAAAACATGTTTATCCACTAAATCAATCTTTTCTTGGAGTACAACATTTGTCCTATATGTTTTTCGATGTATTTAATCATTTTTGAATTTAAGAATAATTTAATGTAATATGTTTAATAATTCATGCTAAACAAGTGTTCTTAATCACTTCCTTTGACTCCTTAAATGTTTAATTATATTACAGTGGGTTGTACATGACCCAATAGTTAACAAAGCACAAAGGTCCCAGTTGATTAATGTAGATGATTCATGTCCTGTCCCGTTTGTATGAGCTCCTTCTGCTGATCTGGTTCCATCACTATAGGGTTCAAGTCCTGATTCTATCATCAGTCTTCACTATTGAGTTTCTGCTTTTTTCTTTTTAACCACCAGAGGACGACAGCAGTCAGCTGCAGCAGCACAGGACAGAATGGGTGTCAGGGGATTACAGTGTCTGCTGAGCCACATACTGAACCAGTCACCTGTACACATGCACAGACATGTAAGTCTCTTGTGGAGCTGTGGCCTAGTGCTTCTGTCGAGAGGATCTGCTGTCGGGCTCACTCTGCTGCTGTAAAGACATGATTCACGTTGTTTGGTATCATCAGATCCAAATGAAACTATATTTCGAGAGATGTGAACATTAAGGGTTTGTATATCTCAGCAGTCGATTCCCACCCTTCTAGGAGAAAACCTCTGTGTTTGACAGAGCGAGACCTCCAGGGGTAGACAAAGGCAGAAATTGCTGTTGTCTCTTTCGTTCTGGGTGCACCAGGGCTCCACTCAGGCTCAGCTAGAGTTATACATCCATTTCAAATGATAGGCAAGAGGGGCCAGGAGGTAGTGGCATTGTTCAGTGAAGAAAAACCTCTCTTTGTTCCTCTACAGGGGCAGATGAAAAGGACCACTTCACTTCATGATACTGACAGAAGGTACCCTCATAAATATCATGTAATTTGTGTTATTTCTTCTCCTGTTCACGAGACCTGCTACATTAATTTCACTTGTCAGATAACACTGGTGTCGGAACAGGGTTATCCTCGTGACGTGATCAGGGTTGTCTCAGTGACGTGATGTGTATTAACCAGGTGATGTGATCAGGGTTGTCTCAGTGACGTGATCAGGCTTATCCCGGTGACGTGATCAGGCTTATCCCGGTGACGTGATCAGGNTTATCCCGGTGACGTGATCAGGCTTATCCCGGTGACGTGATCAGGGTTATCCCGGTGACGTGATCAGGCTTATCCCGATGACGTGATCAGGGTTATCTTGGTGACGTGATCAGGGTTATCTTGGTGACGTGATCAGGCTTATCCCGGTGACGTGAACAGGGTTATCCCGGTGAAGTGATCAGGGTTATCCCGGTGACGTGATCAGGGTTATCCCAGTGACGTGATCAGGATTAACCCGGTGACGTGATCAGGGTTATCCCGGTGACGTGATCAGGATTAACCCGGTGACGTGATCATGGTTGTCCTGGTGATGAGAAAGTGGTGCTACTCACGTAGAAGACAGCGACAGTGACAAAGATGTCAAGAGAGCTTATGGTTATGTTGCCTGGCCCCAGTGTGTTGTGCTGTGATGCTTTAAAATCAACACACATCGACCTATATTGCTCAGATTTGGACTTTTGCTTTAAGTACACTAACTTAATGGTTGTCCCGTACTAAATTGCCATAGTGTGTATTTAAAGTGTTTAAGCTCTACTGCTGTTTACAAACACCGGTCAGTCTAAATACAGCACAACAGGAGCACCCCATTACAATAACAAACACTTCTACAAAGGGGCTTTTCTACTGTATTAGGTAGCATACCAATTAGTAGCATTTGGCAGCTCTAAAAAGCTTTTGCAGCACATTGATAATCAAGCATTCAAATAAATAATAGAGCAGCTGCATAAACTCGAACTTCAGGTGCATCACATCTATGTGCACACAGATGTATGGATTAATATATACATAGTCATATGTGGCTTTTTTAAGGGATAGTTCACCAAAGAATGAAAATTCACTAATTATTTACTCACCACTAAGCATTGCTACTTCCGATAATGGACATTTAGGCTAAAACATGGTGTAAATTATGCCTTTTTGACTCAAATTCGACACTTGGATGACACCATACGAGCATTATATACATTAGAAGAAATGGTCACCATTTACTTCAATTGTATTGGATTTGGCTGCAACGCTATTTACCCCTGAAATTCAAAAAGTGTTTTGAGGACTCAAACACTTCACCCACCCCTCCATCGGCAAAGTGGTGAGTAGATAATGAGTGAATTTTCATTTTTCCCTTTAAACGATGAAATTGAAATGCCATATATATAAAAATGATAATAGATATTATTGATCAGGATTTGCTTTTTTTAAGGTTAAAGTTAATGCTACTAGTATAAATTATTTATCTTAAAATATTGTTCCAAGGTCTTTCTTTCTTGTTTTCTTTCAAACCCAGTTACAGAGGCATGTTCTTTATTTGGCACATATCCCTCCACATGATACAAAAAGAGAGCTCATCATCACAGCTCCTGTTTGCAGGAGCAGTGGAAGTAGTCCTTCAGAAAGTGACGCACACTTACCCAGAGGAGTTGGCGATGAGTTGGAGGAGCTCTGGATACACTCAGAGCGCGCGCACCCGCGTCTACGACCAGCAGTGTGTCAGCAACCGAGGATGCGACCGCAACTGCGAGAGAGGCTGCAGCTTCACGTGGAAACGACCCGCGGGGAAGGATTTGAAAACACGTCCTCAGACTTTTAACCATGAGTGAATTTCTGCTGGATTACAAACTATGACGCGCTTTTCTCCGGCTCTGTGACACGCTCCCTGCTGCGCTGCGTCCTCAGACCCATCTCCACTTGTTGTCATCCTGCAGAAACATGTCAACCAAACCACTGGCCTGTGTCCTACTGCTGTCACTGCTTCACACCTGGTGAGTGGCGCACTCTTCTTTATGGCACATCTGCGTAAAGGCAAATCCGTGTTGTGCTCGAGCAAAGCGCTGCGCCATAAATGTTTGTCACCAGAAGTAAACTTCATGTGAGTTTATGTGCAGGAGCCTCGTGGACGTGATCGTGATGTTTACATGTGTGCACAACATCACCGTGCGTGGCATCGCTTGTTTTTAACCCCCTTCCACCTCTGTCCATGCCAACCTTCGCAGCTCTCTGACTCTGGAGTACGAGGACTACGAGGATGTCACAGTGAACCAAATGCTGGCTCCGAAATCACAGGAAACCGACGCCACGGAAATACTCAACAATCTGCTGAAAGAGTACGATAAGAAACTCAGACCGGATATCGGAGGTAATGTCCCCTTTGTCCCTCATGTTCTGATGTGTATTGATCAAAAGACTGTAAATACACAGCATGTAGCGAGCTGAGGGATTTATTGAATTAACACTGATCATATTCACACTGACCTGACCTGCAGATTCATGTGATATCATATAAGAACA